CATGACTTTACATTATGCATCTCTGATTGGTTCATTGTTTAGAGCTTGCATTGGGGGTGTGAGTGCTACACTGGCCTAGGGGTAGAGCCAGGATGTGATGCAATGGCAGGAAGAACTTGTGACTGATGGTTTTTCCTGTTTCCTCCTTGCTCTTTGCAGCTGCCATGAACTGAGGCCCTGCCATGCCACCCTGCCTTGGAGCCAACTGAGTATGGACTGAAACCTCCACAAACTATAAGAAATAAACCTTTCCTTTCCCAAATTTTCACATCAGGATTTTTGTCTCAGCAACCAGTAAAAAGTAACTAAGACAGCCCTGCATCCAATTCCTAGAATTCAGTTAAGGAAAAACAAACAAAGAAACAAAAATTGGGAGCAAGGTGAAGGGCTACAGAGTACTGCTGCCTGGTCTTTCTGAAAAGCAGTGTGCCCCAAGTAACTTTAGCCTCCACACAATTCTTGAGCACTCTTATTTTAAAAAATGATCATTTCCATGAGGAATGGGGAAAGGAGGATGGTCACCCAAAAATACAACATCTCAGTCATGGTGGACAAGAAATTTTCAGTTCTCTACTAAACTGTATGGTGACTACAGTTAACTAAGAAGGATAGATTTCAAAACTCCTAAACAATGGGATTTTCAGTCCCAGTCACTGTGAAAGAATTTGTAATTACTTAAAAATGTTTTATGGGATAATATATGGTCTATTTTGTAGAATATCCCATGTGCAGCTGAGAAGAATGTATGTTCTGATATGATTGGGTGGAATACTATGTAAACATGTACTAAGTCTATTCATGCACATGTATGATTCAGTTATGTTATTTCTTTGCTGAATTTTTGTCTAAGTTGATCTATCTCTTTGTGACAGTGGGTTGTTAAGGTCTCCTATTACAATTGTGTTCTTGTGTGTTAGCTTTTCATGTCCATTAGTTTTTGTCCAAAATAGTTGGGTCCTCCTGTATTTGGTGCATATATATTTATAATTGTTAGTTGTTCCTCTTGTAGTTATCCATGTAAAAGTTTGCAGTGCCCTTCATTATCTCGTTTATTCATTATATGTTTGAACTTCACTTTGTCTGCAAAAGAATAGCTACCCCTGCTCTTTCCAGGGTTCCTGGTGCATGGAAACTCTATTCCATGCTTTGACTTTTAATCTGAGTTTCTTTTTGAGTCAGATGTGTTTCTTGTATACAACATACTCTGGGATCCTATTTCTTGATGTATTCTGTCAACCTGTTTCTTTTAATAGGTGAATTGAGCCCATTTACTTTTATGGATATCACTAATATATACTGCTTTGACTTTGCCATATTGTGTTCCTGTTGTTGGTTTCCTGCTTTTTTCCATTATTTAGTATTTTGTCCAGCCTGGTGGTTTCTTTCTGTTGTTCTGGAGATTGTGGTCATGTTTACTGCTATCTTGCATATCTTTCAGTATTCTTTCTAGGGTTGGTTTGATGGACATGAATTGATTCAGTTGTACTTTGTCATGGGAGTATCTTGTTTCTCCATTAATTCTGAATGAAATTTTTGCTGGATACATTAGTCTGTACTGAAAATTGTTTTCTTAAAAGGCTTAAAATGCTTCACTCCAAGCTCTTCTTAACGTGAAGTTATATGCTGAAAATTCTGCTGTGATTCTAATAGGCTTTCATTGATACATGAGTTGTGTCTTTTCTCTAACAGCTTTCAGTATTCTCTTTTTATGCTGTATGTCTGGGATCTTAATTATTATATATCTGGGTGTAGATTTATGTTGGTTGTGACTGTTTGACATTCTCCACGCCTCACTTATTTGTATATCAGACTTTTCTTACCTTTGGGAAATTTTCTGCTATTACTTTCTGTGAATAATTTAGTTATGTCATTAGTATCAACTCCTGTGTCTTCACTGATGCCAGTTACTCTTACAATGTTTCTCTTGTCATTGTCTTGGAGCTACTGAATTTTCACTTCATGTTGATTTGTTGATTTTAAAAGTTTAACCCTATCATGATCACTATGTAAAACTCTGTCCTCAAGGTATCCTCAACTTCATTCAAATGTTTTTGCCAGCTTTCAGTAGTTTTTTTGTCTTGGATATTTCTTTGCATTTGTTTCATGGATTCTGCTTGTTTTTTGTGTTATTCACGCGAAGTTTCAATTTCCCATGCTCCTGTGTTTTTTTGTTTTGTTTTTTTTTTTTAGTTTATTTCTTTTCTAGTTATGTTGAGCAACTAGTTTAATAAGATTGGTATTTCTGTCTCTACAAGAGACAATCTTTTAATTTGATTTCTGCTATAGCCTCATGGACTGGTTTCTTTACTTCAGTTGCTCTCTTTTGAGAGATTTCTGGTGTATGACTTTTAAGATCCTCTGTTTCACTGTTGCCTGTTATTGCTCCTGATTGACTAATGTTTGAGATCGCACTTTGCCAATTTGCTTGTCATTTTCAAAATTGAGGTACATAGTTGGTCTTTAAATCCCAACATAGTTTGACCTTTAGGGTCCTACTGTGTGGTGGATGTTGGTGCAATTGCTGGGTAACAAAATGAAAAGGAGAGTCACTCTGAATTCCTCCTGCAGAGCCTGTTTTGTGAGTCCTATATTCTTCCCAGGCTAAATAGCCTAGAAGTATTGATGTAGGTCAACTCTTACTTCCTGCAATTGCTATGTCTTCAGGTTGTTGCAGGTCACCAGATCTCCCTGTCTATAATGTTCATGTTAGCCTAGGCCCTACTGTGTCACTGGGTTTCTTATAAGCTCTTTTAATTTGCTCCATTTGGAGGAGACCTTATTGGGGCACTCCTCAACCTGTCCAATGTTCTCTGTGTGGAGAAGGTGATTCTTGATCCTCTTGTCAGTTTTGACAAGGGCTTATATTTGGAAAGAGCTTCATTTCTGCTCCTGTTTACCCACTGAAGACCTCTATTTTAGGGGAAAACTCAACACATTGACTGGAGCCTGATGATGGCTTCTGTTTGCATGAGGGGCTCCTGAGTCTCTCATCGAGCCAGCATGGTAATCCATTATATTCCAAGGTTTTGGAAGAAAGGGTTAGAGTCAACGATCAATGGCAATACTAGGTCCAGCAGGTGGGGGAGTTCCTCCATTGGGTGGGCCTGAGTGGTTGTCCAGGGGGTCCTTGGTTGTCGGTCAGAGCAGTGGCCCATGGTGGCAGTCCAGGCATCTCAGGTGCACATCCATTTCTTCCCAGGCTTCTTGTTCCTATCTCTGTTTGTCAGTGATATAAATGCCAGATTCTACATGCAAGATGGCACAAGTACCTTCTTGTGCTATGGTTCACAAATCAAGGCTCATGTGGTTTTGCAAAACCAACTTTCACATTTGAGATGTTTCATCCATGGGCAACACCAAGCCTATCAAGTGAGGTTCATAGATTGGGCCCTGCATTGACAAAGGTTTCAATCTGGATGGTGAGGTCCATGATTCCTGCCCTTGGTACCAACACTGCTACCAGATAAATCCCCCAGGCCACCTTTACAATATTTTGGCACCTGTTGAGTATTGTGTCACTTATAGAACTGTTTCACAATAATGCAGAGTGTCCAATATAATGTGTTTGATGGTGCCCTGGATATATGGGAAAACCCAGGTGGTGTCCCAGTCATTGTTGCGATAGTTATGATCATCCATAGCTCACACAGACCTAAGAGGCTTCCACAGTAAGCCAATCAGTGGGCACCACCCTGATGAGCTTGTTGCCACTCCAAATGTTTGTATCATTTTTCAGTGATACACAGTTACACATGTCAAGTCGTATCCACTGCACAATTGGGTGCCCCAATGCTGAATTTACCTGTTGCATAAAATGTGGGGCTGCATCCAGTTATGCTCCTTAGTTCCCTGTTACCCAACCCCAGATATTGTACATAACAGGACCCAGTCCCTGTGGTGTAGTCATGTTCTACAAATCAGCACCTTGCTTGCCTGGCATCTCTGATCCCAGGCTGATGTTATCAACAAGGTTATGAGAGTGTGCTTATCTGCTGACAGGGTGTCATTTGCACATTCTGTAGAACTTGTCACATATAGGGAGTGCTGGCTGGAGTAAATTTGGGACACATTCTGTGGGCACAACTTTATGTTATCAGCACCATTTTCCCATAGCTATAAAACCCATGTTGGGACAATTTCACTCACATTTTGCTTCAACTGTTTCACCAAGTCTCATATTCCAGGGCATTATGGGTAGAGACAAGCATTCCCACAAGTCCCCATCCTTAGGCTAAGGGCTCTTACACCTCCACCTTCTGTCAAGGAGCAGGCCTATCATGAAATACTAGAGAACTCTCACAGGGACTATCCTGGTCATTGGGCCTTACCCTCAGTAGGAGGCAGTGTTCTCTGGGTCATGCAGTGTGATTTATGCAGGAGCCAGCAGTGATTCCAAGGCCTCTGTGGGGTCCAAGTGTCTACCACTTCTGAAGGCCTTCAACGTTCTCTTGGGAGTCAGATGAACCATTCCCAGTATGTACATGTCTCTTATTATTACCAGTAATCAGGTAAGTGAATACTCATCACACAAGGAGAAATCTTGCTCATGTTTTGAAGAGCATTAAAGAGCAGACTTTGTCTTTTACATCAAAGTACACTGACATTGGTGAGGAAGTGTAGGAATGAGACTCCTTCTGCCTTGCTAGTGGTACATTCACTTCAGAAATCATTTTGGTAGTTAAATTAAGAGTAACACATCTGACTACCTTAACATTCTGTGCATCCAATTCTCTATGTCATAAAGAGAATTTTACAAGATATTCACATCAACATTGTTTTCCTTAAACTGAAAACTACAATGTGAATATCCAGTAAAACCTGAATGAATAAACAAACCACAGCAAGCCATGTATTGAAAGTCTGCTAAAACATAGCAATAACCTTAGAATGACTGATTGGTGAAAAAAGGTAGAGAGGTCAAATTTTGTCTATTCATTACATACATTTGCAAAATATGACAAGACACATGTGTGATAGAAGGCGGGTCAGTCTGTACCTACCTGATACAAGAGAAAATATGCTGTTGTATTAAGAGTTGCTGTGTATGGATCCTGGAGAGTTTGCTGGGGCTGCTACCATAGTAGCTCAGTGCACAGAGCTACATACTCAGTGAACTTGCCAATAGGGGAGAATTTGCTCTCAGGCTCTGTCCCTTGTATACAGGCAGGACTCAGGACAAAAGCCTGGTGTCTCCTTTCTGTTTTCTCTTTTCTCATTCAACGTTCATCAGCTTGTCCTCAAAGAAGCTGCAGAGATAGGAGTGACTTATTTGGAGCCAGAGATCCCCCCCCCCAAAATAACCCACAATATTGGGGAGAACAAATGAAAAGATGAGGAGGTTTCTCATAGTTATTTTGTGTGAACCTTAATAGTACCAACATATAACCTCTGCCATATCCAGTTATTTTAAGACTGAGTCAGGAACTAGGGAAAGAGCTCAGGATACAACACATGCTTACCATGCATGAGGCCCTGGGCTCAATTTCAGCACTGCTAATGAAATATAATAACAATTATAATAACAAGCCACAAAGCTAAGCCCATAATATCGGGAACAGCTACTCAGGATATGGCCATCACAAGATGAGGTTTCTGTGACTGAGCAGGAGCACAGGCAATAGGCCTGGTGGCTCACACAGGTGTGAATACAAGAGCTATGGACATAGACATGGGGATATAGCTCCATCCATAACGCTTGCTTAGTCTGTGTGAGGTCCTGATTTGAGGCCACAGCACCAATACATAGAAGAAATTGAGATGCTTAGGAAAAATAAGGATGGCTGAATCGATGCACTTCCACCCCCTCATGAAGCCACCAGGGAAACATGTACAGGAGTTAAGTCTCATTTCTACTGTCATACAGCAGGATCCAGCATTGTGTACACTGTATTCCACCTCCATCCTAATCCTCCCTGGATTTTACTTCTAGTTCTGTGCTCTATGTATATGTGATACTAGCCCACAGATTTTATAAACGTTATCTCACACCACCGATGATGTTCCCAGGTAGTAGATGCCAGGATGACCTCCACAGAGCATAGGAACACATTGGGAATGTCCCGAGAGGCATGGTGTCATGTCTAGGTTTATGTAGAAAGTCAGGAGGACAAGTTCAATCCAAACCCCTGACTTTTGCCTCAGATGTGAGACCCTGCCTGCACTGCTGTATTTCCTTGGCCTTGGAAAAGCATAGCATCCTTCCATGGATCGATTACTTGGGTGAAGAAGTTGTTTATTGTGAAGGACAATGGAGATTCATTCTCTGGGCTTCCATGTTATCCTGACCAGGAATCTCTGCGAGATATCATGCAACCAGGTCCACACAGAAATCATGGAGGGAGTGTGTGGGTACCTTTAATCGTCAATTTACTAGGCTCTGATAGATGTAATGACCAGATTCAACATAAACACTGTTGTCCTGTGCTTCAATATTGTGCAGGCCACACAGTCACCCTGCAGAGCAGACGAAGTACTACCCACATTACTATGAATGCACCTAACTTCTGTGCCTCTGTACATGTGAACACCTAATAGGGTAAGGAGAGTCCCACTAATGCACATAGAATGGGGTGGTATAGTACAGCACCCCTATACAGTGACTATGAGTAGAGTAACATTGTAGATACCACTCCTCCTCACAGAAACATCAGGCCACAAGGGTGGTAAAGTTAGGTGTATGTCAGGCTTCACTGAAGAATGGAGGAAAGTTGGTCACAGCACTATTAGGGACTTCTGTCATCACATGAGGACAACTGGGCCAGCACTGCCACATTCCAGGCAATGAAAAGGCTGGGGCTGGGATCTCTGCAACAGGCACAGGAGTTTGATGTCCAACTCTACAAGATGCCCATTTGAGTTCAATAAACCTAAGCTCACTGAAAATGAGAACTGCAATCAGGAGATTTGGCCTGGGTCTGTGCGCCTCTGGGAAGTCCATGGGACATTTTATATAGACAAAGACTCCAAGACTTGTGACCTACAGCAACAGGCAAGCAGAAGTGAGCAGGTCATAGAATGGGAAGCTTTCCTGGGGTAGATTTGTGCACAGAACTGTCTGTGACAGGCACTGGCAAGTTCTAGAGCCTGCAAGGAACAAGGACAGTTGGTGATTTTTCTCCTGCTAATACAGGGTAGTACCTAACTGAGCCCAAGTCCCACATGCAGAATTTATGCTAGATCCATCTCCAGTGACCTCTTCAGCTTTGGTAGCAAAGTGAAAACTAAGGCCACACACCCTTTCTTGAGGAATTCTAGAGCTGAGGCTTTTACTGGCTCCACAGCAAGCATCCTGAGCTCCACTCAGGGCCAGTCCTGCAAAGCAACTGCCTTTCCTTTCCCCTCCCTTTGTATCCCTTGTATCCCTTGTATTATTTTCAGTTTATATTTCTACTCCTAAGTCTTTAATTATTCTAAACATTAAATTCTAGTACAATTTAAATTAAAAATTAAGATAACATTAGTTTCATAATGTTAAATTCAGTAACAAATAAGCACATAATCAATTTGTACAATTTCCACATTAGTTGAGTTCCAGCTTTCTGCTCAGTTTTGGAGCCACCCAAACCCCTATTCTCTCCTGCTATAACCCACCCTAAAATTCATCTGGAGCAAGAAGAGACCCAGAATAGCAAGTTCTAAGCAGCAAAGGCAAGGCAGGGGACATCACAATCCCTGACTTGAAGTTATACTACAAAGCAACTGTAGTAAAATTGACTGTAGTAAAATTGACAAAGCAACTGTAGTAAAATGCTACTGGAATCGAAACAGAGCTAAAGATCAGTGGAATAGATGAGAAGATGCAAACACAACTACAAACACACTCAACCAACTCATCTTTGATAAATGGGCCAAACATGTTCACTGGAAGTACGACAGTCTCTTTAATAAATGGTGGTGAAAAACTGTCTCTCCATATGCCAAAAACTAAAACTAGACCCATGCCTATCACCATATACTAAAATAAAATCTGAATGGATCAAAGATCTAAGTATTAAAACAGAAACACTAAATCTATTGGAAGACAAACTGGGTAAAAACCTTGAAGACATAGGGGTAGGTAGAGAATTCATGAACAAGACTCAAACCGCACAGGAAATACTTCCTAGATTCAATGAGTGGGATCACCACTTATTAAAATGTTTCTGCACGTCAAAAAAAAATTCTAACATAGGGAAAAGAAAACCTACGAACTGGGAAAAAATCTGAGTGAAATGTCCCTCAGACAAAGGACTTCTTTCTAAAACATATAAAGAATTTTAAAAAAATCTGACCCCCAATATTCAAAGCCCCAATACAAAAATGGTCATCTGAGATGAATACACAATTCTCAGATGAAGAAATACAAATAACAAATTAATACATGAAAAAATCTTCACCATCATAGGTCATTAGAGCAATGCAAATTAAAACCACACTGAGATTTCATCTCACTCCTGAAAGAATCGTCAAGATCAAGAAAACCACCAACAACAAATGTTGGAGAGGCTGTGGGGAAAAAGGAACTCTCCTGTACTGTTGGTGGGAGTGTAGACTGGTGCAAACATTGTAGAGGTCAGTGTGGATATTTCTCAGAAAGCTGGGATTGAAAGCCCCATTTGACCCAGCTATACCACTTCTAGGCATATTCTCAGAAGAACTGAAAGCATGATACCACAGTGACATATTTGCACCCATGTTTATAGCAGCACAATTTGTAATAGCCAGATCTTGGAAACTACCTAAGTGTCCATCAACCGAGGAGTGGATAAAAAAGTTGTGGTATTTTTATACAATGAAGTACTACTCAGCTATAAAGGATGATCACATTGAGATATAAATAAATAGATACAGCTTGAGAACATACTCATAAGTGAAATAAATCAAACTCACGAGTATAAATACCAAATAGTTTCCCTAGTGTAAGAAATGATAAGAATACATAAAAGTACATGGTAATCATGATTCCCATCATATTGGTTTGAAGCCATATAATGTTTTCATTCATTAATTGGAATGGTTTTAATCTGGGTTGTTCGATTTTACTGTCTGTGATAGTACGAATAGCTATTTTGAAGAAAATTTGACAGCATAATAGCTATTGCTAATTTAATATCATCCTGTTTTGAAATCCCATCAAGTTGTTGTTCATCTGTTTCCATTGGTTTTAACATGTTATATCATATTTTAATATATGTGATAGTATAAACAAAATTTTTTATAGGCAGAGATAGTATAGAAACCATTGCTCGGTTTCTGTTAGCTGGCTCTAAATACCCTGCAATACTTTCATTCTCTTGAATGATTTCACACTGTCTTGATAAGATTGATGCTGCAGTACACAAAGTTATACTGAAATATTTCAAGTAAAGAGACACTATGGTAACAACTATTATGTCAGGCTATCTGGTGGTGAAACACAATGATGCTTAAATTGTTCAGTTCTGACCTGTGTTGTTCTATTGATATGTCCTCTTTTATCTCAATCTCCCTTTTTTCTTTTTTTAAAAATTAATTTCTTATTATTTTTAAGGGAAAACTAAATTAAAAATAGCATGATACATTATAGTAACTTTTTTGTTTTCTTATTAACTGTTTTGAACACCCGTATGGTTCTCCACATCTTGTCCTGACTGATTTTACTACATTCTGTTTTGCTTAATAGCATCAAGTTTGAGGGTGGGCAACCACTTTGAAGGCAACAAGATATTCTATGATGCTCATTATGGTTTGACTATTATCTTCTTTGAAAGTCCTGTAAGGTCTCAAATGTGGGTCTTATTGGCCTTGTTATGTACAGTTTTGTTCAAATTTATTATAACAGATGATACAGGCTACTCTTTTTAAGATAGCAAGAGGCATAATGGTAACCATTGTTGATCACCTGGTATTCTCTTTTGCATTATATACTATGTCCATCCTCCTGTTCTAACTGACTCTGTTTTGCTTTGTCACATTGGGATTTTTTGTTTTGTTTTGTTTCATTAGTTATGTTTTTATTTTTATTTTTTTCCTCTTCAAAGTAAAAGTTATAAGAACTTTGGGAATAATAAAACCCCAAATGTGTAATTATTATCATAAAAAAGAGAGGAAAACAAAGTGATCTAAAGGATATAACTGTATGTATATTTAAGTGTATAGAATAGAAAACCATATTACTGAGTTTTTGTTGGATCATTGAACAGAACTGTCTACA